GGGGAAAAGCCCAATTTGGGAAGAATTTAAACAAGTTCAGAGGGTTCATTAGGTCTAACAGTGTGATTTTTTTGAAAAAGGATTGGCAAAAGAGGTTCAAAAAACAAGGGCCTAGAGGGTCTGAACCAAGAGTTTGTGGAGGGGGTCCTTAGGCCAGGCCCCCCCCCCCAACATGTGGTGAAGGTGCTGGGGGGTTCGGGACCCCCCCCCCTAGCATGTGGTGAAGGTGCTGGGGGGGGGTCGGACCCCCCCCCTAGCATGTGGTGTGGAGAGAAGTGCGCCCCCCTCCCTGGAAGCGATGTCCGCCTGCTTCCCGGCACCCGAGCCTCGCCGCGCGCGCCGAGCGCGAGTCGGTGGACGGTGCCCGGCACCGAACCTGTCATTTTGCCCTACTCGAGTAGTGAAGTAACAAGTAAGTAAGCGAGCCCGTACCGATCGCCGTACCCGTGTCTTATTAGTCGCTTGCCAGCCGACCCTCGCCGGCGCGATATCGTTGACCCCAGGAGCCAGGTAGTCTGTCCGAGGAGGTCCGTCGAGAGTCGAGTCCGCTAACTGCTGGGCGACTCCTCGCACTTCGCGCGCTTTCCGCTTTCCAGAGCAGCTCCCGTATCAACCTGTACCCACCTACCGGTACCTGGGTACCCAGCCTTATAAGCTGTGGTCCGCTCCCAGTCTGGGCGTGGTCGAGACCGAGGTGTCGAACTGAGAGCCACTCCTGGAGGCTGCCTCCGGCCACCGCTCGACTACCCACGCACATGGCCGGTCCTGTGGCTTGCCTGGGCTTGCTCAGAAGCCTCAATTCGCGCACACCTTTGCTCTCTGGCTCCCGCGAGTGCGTTTAGGCCACTCAAGCAGGCGACGCCGAGCACCCGCAACGCATCTCGCTGGGGCGCCACCTATCGACCCGACTGATTGGCAGCATCAAAGCCGACCCCATGACGGTCCTTCAGCCCCATGAGACAGGCAGTTGCGCCCTGATCTCGGTCCAAGACGGCCAACGCCATGTCCGGCACCTGCTGGCTGCTTCACGGGGATGCCCCCCCCGGACACATGCTGCAGCCCCGAGTGGATGTATTGGTCGTTTGTGGGTCCCACAAGACTACTCTAGTAGGGGCCGGGCGCTGGAGCGTCGGCGGTACACCTGTGCAGATGTTGCACGGGTGAAATGGCTCCTCGTACAGGGTAGGAGGCAGGTGGTGGGTTTGAGTGTCGTGAGTGCTTGCAGCCGCGAGTGCAGCACCGTTTGTGACTCCCATGGATACAGTTGGGTGGGCCACGGTGCTGGGGGGCGGTCCGGTGCGCCACAACAGCCTCCCCGGCTGACCCCCATCCAGTTCGGCACCTCCATCCTGACCGTGGAACCCCAACTTCAACCGGTCATATCTCGGGCGGACTGGCACCTCAGGAGCTCATCCTGGTTTTGGGGAGTCTTGGGGGTGTGCTTGAAGGTGGTAAACAGAGTTTTGCACCGCAGCTTACGCCCCCCACAGCAAATCGGTTTTTGCTAAATAGTGCGATTTCCCACCGATGCCAAGCGAAAAATCGTTCACCAAAAATCGCACTATCCTCGACGCGCGTCGAGATCCAAAACTCGACGCAGCCAACTCCCAAGCCCAAATCTGGCCGGGAGCCCCATTCCTACCAACCGTCGGCTTTCGCCGCTTCCGTTTCCTTGAGCACCAGGATGACAGAACTGGCCGTTGCCAGACTAGGGACTATTATGCTCGGCGAGGCGCACAATAGTCCCCGTCAGCGCCACGCGCGAGAGCATGTGTCCACTGTGCAACGCGGCGGCGCGATCAGTCACGGGACGACCGACGGAAGCCGGATAAGCCACAAAACTCGCTCTTGCAGAGCAGGTTTTCACCGATTTGCTGTGGGCGTTGGCTGAAAATAGTGCTCAAACCGACCAAGTCAAGCGAAAATCGGCCCAACGAAAACAGCACTAGTTAAGGGCAAAAACCGATTTGCTGTGGGGGGCGTTATTAACCGAGGGGCGTGCTGAGCACCGTGAAAACAGCGGACCACAGCTTATCCGACTCTCCCGTGTTCAGCAGGCCTGGGTGCGGCTGGGTGGCATCGGCCGACGCTGCAGGGGCCCATGATGCAATCCGACCCTCCACCGATCGCGGGCAGCGTCCAAGTCGGCTCCGAGCTGTGGCGCTCGCTCGGCCAGATCCACACGCGCGCTAACGCCCACCGCGAGCAGTTGGAGAATGCCATGTCAGCGGGCGCCTCATGCATCACCTTCGAGCTCGCGCGACCGGCCAAACTCGGTGCAAGCGACGGCGCGGGCGACATGCTCTGCGTGTTCACCGACACGGCAATCGACCTCTCCGTGGCCCTTGATATTGGCCACTCCAAAGAAAAGGACGCGGCTGCACCGGTTGTGCGCAACAAGGGCGCGCTCAACAACTTTGGCATCGGCCTCAAGGTGTTTCAAGCGTCGCTCGGCCTCCAGACGCAGGTCACCATCTTCACCTACCAGCGCTTCGCGGACGGCGGCGAGGTCCTGGTCGCGGCGCGCATGGGCAGCGCCATCGACGCGCACTTTGCTGCCCTCTCCAAGGGCAAGGTCGTGCACATGGGGCGCATCATCGTCAGGCTGCTGAAGGCCGCAAACGGCGAGCTCTCCTTCGACTGGGGCGCCGCGGCCGACGAGGCAAAGGCGGCCGAGAACAAGGCGGCCATGCTCGGTGCGCACTCGCCGTGGGCCTCGGAGGCGGCGGCGCTGCGTCCGATGCGCCAGCTGATGCAGCTGGTGCGCGAGCAGCAAAAGTCGCGCGGCACGCTCTTCGTCTATCACACCGACGGCTCGGTACCCTTGCCGTACCGTCTGGTGCACCCTATCGCGGGCGCCGACGGGAGTGAGAGCGACGACGACGACGACGACGCGGACATGGCTGTGTGCGTGAAGGTGGAGGCCGAGGACGACGCCGCCGCCGACGATCTCGAGGAGGTGCATGAGGCGGAGCTTGTCGCGCCGCCGCCGCGGCTCGCGCCGCGGCTCGAGGTGTGCGACAAGGACGGCACCTGGAAGGACGTCGCGCGCTGCATCGAGAGGTCGTACATAGCGGACGACGTGGGCGCCCTCCACGCGCTCGCTGCGGCGGAGGGCGCGCCGCTGCCGGCCGCACCGGCGATGCCGCGCGTGAGCGTGCAGGGCCTCGTGCTGAGCTTTGCGGAGCACGCGTGGTGCGCCGAGCAGCGGCGCGACGGTGCCGCTGTCGGTGCCTTCTTCCCCATCCGCGTGCAGGGCGTCGACACGCCAATCGCGTTCGCGCGCTGCGTGCATATGGATCTGCGCAACGAGGAGCGCCGCCAGCGCGGCTCGACGACGGCCCCGCGGCTGTGGCTGCACAAGCAGCTGCGCGACGGCGCCTTCTTCGTCTTGCACGGGCGCAAGGTCGTCAACGACGAGGCGAGTGCCATGTGGCACGGCGGCTGCTTCGAGGAGGCGACCTCCAAGTTCGATCCTTTCCTCAAGCTGGCCATCCACGGCGGGCAGGGCGAGATGAACTACGCCAAGTACGGGCTGCTGAAGGAGTACTGGGCGGCGGGCTGCGACGAGGCGGCGGCCGCCCCGCTCCCGCCCGAGCTGCAGTACGCGAACGCCAAGAAGTGGAAGCCAAAGGCGTCGCACCTGTGGCCAAAGGTTGGCGCGGGCGTGCTCGCGCTGGTGCACCTCTCGCCCGAGTTCTTCGAACTCGACCCGTCCAAGACGCGCGTGCTGCGGCGCGACGGCGGTGAGGCCACGACCAACCTCACGCTGGGAAGCCTCGTCAGCGCGATTCGCACGGGCCTCGCCCTGTGGTGCGCGACCACGCCCGCGCCGGAGCATCCCGCGCCCCGTCCCAACCCGCGGCCGGCAGCGCCACGCAACGTGGGCTCCTCCTCTGCCGCTGCACCGGCCGGCTCGTCCGCTGGTGGCGCCTCGTCCTCGTCGTCCCTCACTCCGAGCCCCGGCGAGGAGATCGTCGGCCGGCGCATCAGCATTTTCTGGGCGCAGGACCGCCGCTGGTACGATGGCATCGTCGACGACTACGAAGTGTCACTGCACCACATCACGTACGACGACGGCGACGACGAGTGGCTGCGGCTCGTGCCGGAGGAGTACGAGCTGCTCGTGCGCGACCAGGACGGCAGCGGCGCGGAGCTTCCCGCGGCGCAGCGCGCAGACGGACGCGTGCGCCGGCGCACGACGCGCCCACGTGCGGTGGACTCGTACGTGGATTACGACGCGCCGTCCAGCAAGCGCGTGGCGCGCAGCAAGCCAGCGCACGCCGACGCGCACGACGCGATCCAATTCCGCAAGGCGGCCAAGGCGGCCTACCGCGAGCAGAACGACGCCATCTGTCGCAGCAAGCTCTCGGGCGACATGTTGCTCGAGCTGCAGGCGTACCGCAAGGCGTTTGAGGCACTCGACCGCGTGCTCAAGTAGGGGTAGACCTATATACACCCGGAGGTCAATCTGCATCGCTCTAGCGTCTACGTCAGTGTGTATTGGGTGGTGTTTGTGCCGCTCGGGTCTCTTGGTAGTTAGTTAGAGGGGCCTGCTGCGGCGCTGCGGCCTGGCCGTGGCGCGCCCTGCGGCGGCCGGGGCCGGCCGGCCGCCTGCGCGCGGTGTGTGGACCGCTGCGCCGTCCTCGCCACGCCCACGGCGCCAGCGCGCGCAACTGGCCTCAAAGCTCCAACTCGCGCGCACGCCCTCGCGGCATGCCGCATCGTCAGAGGATACACATACAAAACACACAGCTTAAAACGCACAGCATACAGACAGGGGGACACACGTCCCTAAATCCCATCTCGTCTCAGAGTTTGACCGTTTTCTTTATTTATTAGCATACAGACAGAGCACAGAGAGGTGTGAGCTGTGACAGGTGTCCCTGTCCGATCCCGTTCCACCGGCGAAAGCGTGTTGTCCCTCTGAACGCGAGAGAAAAACACGCGAAAGGTGAAGATGCACAGCCCTTCGGCAAAGGGCACAACCATCGCCGCGCCGACCGCCGTGAAGCGTGATCCGTGAACGCATAATGAGAGAGACGATTTACAACGTCAACATCGAACATGAACGTCAGGAACGAGAACGAAGGGGCACTGCGGGTCGCACAACACGATTGAGACAGAATCTTCCCAGCTCTTCGGCCTGGCCGTCCCCCCATCCCTTAATTGTTTTCACGAAAGAAGATAGAGGGACAGGGGCTTACACGAAGCTCGGCGCGCGCTGCGCCGCGCTGGGGGCAGGCGGGGGCAGACCACTCGATCAGAGACCATGCTAGATTTGGCGCAGCAGCGAGAGAGAGAACACGTACAGCTCTAGAAAGGCAGCTCAACGCCCGCGAGGGCGGCGCCGTCCTTGACGATAAGGCCGAGCTGCTCGTAGGTGCCCATGCCGGACACCTATGAAGTGTCGGGATAAACGTCGTCGAACAGCCGCGTGGGGAAAAAGGGGGCCACTTCGCATCTCCGTGTCTCCTAGGTAGGGGCCCACGGTATGGAAAGAGCAAGGCCCTTGCACACGGGTGAGCAGTGTGCGTGCGTGCGTTGTGCGTGTGTGTCTGCGTGCGTGTCTGCGTGCGTGTGCGCGTGTCTGCGCATGTCTGTGTGCGACAGGCACCTTCTGCGCCATGAGCTCGCCGAGCACGGCGATCATCGCGAGGCGGCCGTTCTTGAGCTCCTTCAGCTGCTTGTTGCGAAACACCTCCGGGTCCTCCGACTTGAAGCCGAGGAAGGTTGGGATCTCGCCGGGCTCCTTGGTGTAGTCTTGCTTGGCAATCGTGAGCTCGTGCACGCCGACGAGCGCAATGATTTGGAGCCAGCCCGCAGCCGGAACCGAGTCAATCGCGGCGATGCCGCCCGGGATGTCGTCGAAGTGGAGGCCGAGCGACGGGGACAGCAGCTGGTGCGTAGGCTGGAAGAGCTGCGAGCGGCGGCGGGGAGGCGGCGTCAGGCTGCAGGGACGGGCGGTGTTGCGGCCGCCGCACGCGCGCGCAATAGGGTGGCAGCGGTAGCAGGGCGGCGCGCGCCTCGTTGGGCCCAACAGTCATGCCAAGGAAGGCGACCATGCACACGCGGCCGTGCTTGATCTCGACGCAGCGGCGGCGGTACAGCGACGCCTCATCCGCGCCAAGGCCAAGCGGGTCCCACACCTTGCCCTCGGGTGTGCCACCGAAGATCGGGTCGTTGATGCCGCCAACCAGGTCCTCGACCGCCATGGTCGGGCTGGGCCCCATGCGGGTCGGCCGCAGCACCGGCGCGCCGGAGAAGGACAGGGGAGCCGCGGAGAGGGACAGCATTGTCTGCGGGGCGCGGGGCGCAGAGAGGAGGTTGGCGGCGAGTCCCGCTGGACCTTAAGGGGCGCTCTGGGAGAGCAACAGCGCGCGCAGCGGCCGGGAGCCTGGCCCTCAGGCGCGCGGGGCAGAGCTGCACAGCTCGCCAGATTCGGGCAGCAGAGGGTGGGCGCCGCCGCGCCGTGTGCTCTGGCGAGCTCGAGCGCTGCGGCGCCGCACGCGGCCGCGGTGCCGGCTGCGCGGCGCCGGCGTGTGCTGTGTGGAGCGTCTCACTCGGAGAGGGGAGAGCGCGAGGCGCGGTGCGATGAAATGTGCGGAGCTCACGACTGCGAGCAGGGGCAGAAATTGCGAATCTGGAGAAGCCGAAAGAAGAAACGCGACTGCCGCCTAGCAGACCCACGGCGGAGGCCTACTCCGCTCTCCTAAAAACCAATGCCTAATCCGGAGTCTATATACACACGGGCCTCACGGGGATAGAGATGGGCGAAAAGAAGCGACGAGCGGGTCCCTCCCCGTCCGACCAAGCGCCAAGGCCCATCCAGATCACTGCGAAAAGAATGTCGGGTGTATCGTTCGGGCACTTCGCATGCCTGCGGCCGCAGGCAAGGAAGGCGAGCTTCCTGGCGTCGTTGCCAAGCGCCGACATGCCAAAAGACACCTCGCAGCGCGCGTGACGTGACCGAAGCGGCACGCCTCGGCGCCGCGGGAGCAGCCAGCCGGTCGACGTCGGCACCAAGCGCACGGCCGCCGGGCGCCTCCGAACCGACAGGGGCGCCGCGGCAGTAGAGAGCACTCCACCCGCCATACCGTTGATTGAGGCGCCGTGTAGTCAGTCAGGGAGCTGTGCTCCAAAAGAATTTCGCGCTGACTTCGGGCATTCGCCGGCGGCGGCAGGGGCGCAAGCATTTGTGTTGTTGGTTGGGAGTGTGTCTGTGATCCGATCACCATGGCGACACGAAATCTCGGGACGATGTCGGACTCGGTCCTGCAAGACTACCACACCAGGCGGCATACGAGCGGCCTGAATACCGAGGAACTCGAGGCGCCACTCGCGCTCGTCCACAGCACGAGCCGAATCAATTGGCTGACTGCACGATACGACCCCGACGACTCGCAGCGGCTGCAGCTGCTCGCCACGGGCGAGGGTGGGTTTGAAGAGCTACTGGGCAGCCTCGACGACAACCTCGTCATTTACGGCTGCTTCATGTTTGCGGCGGCCAATCAGGTCAAGTGCGCATTTGTGAGCTGGGTTGGCGAGGGTGTGAGCGGTCTCGAGCGCGCACGCGTGAGCATGCACCGAAGCGACATGCAGGCCTTCGTGCAGCCTGTGGCGTCCTTCGACATCCAGGAGCGCGAGGTGCCAGCTGCTCTCTCGGCCGCTGTCAAGGCGTCGATCGCGACTCAGGTGGGCGCGTCTCTCCTCTCCTACGATGGCCTCGCGCACATCTCGCTGGACACCAACAACATCGAGGCGGAGGGGGAGGAGTCCGCCGAGGAGGTGCATGGACGGTCCGAGCTCGAGCCGCTGCCGTCGGCGCCTCCAACGACCGACGCCGACACGGGTTTGCTCGAGGCGCTCTGGGCCGGCGAGGGACTTCCCGCGGCACGCGCGGCGGCGCTGGCGAAGGAGGTTCCGCAATCTCTGCTGGGTGAGGTGCTGTGGGTGTGGGGCGGGCACGAGCAGCTGACGCCGGAGGCGGCCGCCGGACTGCTCTCTGCTGCGTCAGAGGAGGCGGCGGAGGCGGCGGAGGCGGCGCCACACCCGGGCGAGGCTCTTCGGGGAGAAGGGCTGCGGCTGTCGCTGTGCTTGCTGCTCCGCGTTCAGATGCTGCGCGAGGGCGACTGCCATCCGCGAGGTGCTGCAAGGCTCCACACCCGGCGACGTCCACTCTCCGCTCCCCACCTACAATAGGCGCCACGGAGTGGGGCGTCGAGTTTGCGCGCAAGCGTGGCGGGCTGGGGCTGCTCAGCCTCGCAGCGCAGCAGCTGGTGTCGCGTCATCCGCAGTGGATGCTGACGCGACACCAGGCGCTCTCGTGCCTCGAGGCAGCCTCCTGTGCCCTCCTTGGCCTCTCCGCCGAAGCGCCACCGCCGCCCAAGCCGTCCTCCACACCCGCTCCACTCGCGAACGCCGGTGGAAAACAAAAGCTGCAGATCGCGCAGCAGCCGCCGCCGCCGCCGCTGCCAGGGGCGCCACCACCGCCGCCGCCGCTGCCAGGGGGTGCGCCTCCGCCGCCGCCGCCACCGCCGCTGCCAGGGGGTGCGCCTCCGCCGCCGCCGCCGCCGCCGCTGCCAGGGGCGCCACCACCGCCGCCGCCGCCGCCAGGGGGGGCGCCTCCGCCGCCGCCACCTCCAGTGCCACCACCCGGCGTGCCGCCGCCGCCGCCGCCGCCAGGGGCACCGCCTACGCCTCCTCCTCCGCCGCCGATGCTGCCGGGTGCGCCGAACCCACGAAGCGCACCGCCAGCGCCTCCGCCGCCACCTCGTGGCGCGCCAAAGCCGCCGGGCGAGTCGGCCAAGGCGAAGAGGGAGCGCGAGGCGGCGGCGGCGGCGGCGGAGGCGGCGGCGGCGCAAGCTGCGGCCGCCGAGGAGGCAAGGGTTGAGCGACGGCGGCTCTTTTGGAAGAGGGTGCCCGATCGGTTGGTTGGTCCGACTGTGTTTGGCGAGATCTCCCCGGCGCTCGACCGGCTGCGCGAGAGCGTCGGGCCGGAGGTGCAGGCGCTGGTGCGGGACCATTTCGTGCGAGAGCGCGCGGCCAAGCAGCTGAGCGAGGCGGAGAGGGTCGGGCAGGAGGTCGGCGCCATTGGTGGCGTGCTGAAGAAGGGCTCGCTCACTTTCCTCGACCAGCGGCGGTGGAACAACATCGCGATCGGCCTCTCGAAGCTCGGCCTCGACAACGCAACCATCCGCACGGCGGTGGTTGCGGCCGACGAGTCTGTGCTCACCCCGAGCGCGGTCGAGCTGCTGCTGCCCTGCCTTCCGACCGCCGACGACATCGAGGCGATCGCCCCGTACGACGGCGACCCGGAGCTGCTCGCGACGGTGGAGCGCTTCTTCTGGGAGGTACACGCCGTGCCGCTCTTCACGAGCCGCGTGCACGCGCTGCATGCGAAGCAGGCCTCCGGCGCGCAGGCAGCCCCCGCTCTCGGCTTCCGCGGGCGGCTCCACACCGCTGCGTCCGCGTCGACCTCCGACCCGGACACGCCCTGTAGGTTGCGCTCGCGCAGCAGATGCTCGAGAGCCTCGGCCGCGCCTGCAGCCAGGTCCTTCTCGCGTCCGGATTTGAGGAGCTGCTCGGCCTGCTCGTCCTCGTCGGCAACGAGATGAACCAAGGCACGTCGCGCGGCAGCGCCGCCGGCTGCCACTTGACCATCCTGAGCCGGCTCGACGACGTCCGCTCGATGGGCGCCAAGCAGCGCACGAGTTTGCTGCAGCTGCTCGTGGCCCTCGCCGAGGACCGGCTCCCTTTGTCGGCGGGCCGCGTGCGAGCGGAGCTGTCGCCCTGCAGACCTCCCCTCCGAGGGCGGCACCGTTCCGTGCGTAGGCCGGGCGCTGGCCGGATGAGCTCGAGGGGGCGGCCGAGGCGAGCGGCGTGTCGTGGAAGCGCATCACCGCCGAGCTTCGCGAGCTGGAGCGCGGCGCCGCACTCGTGGAGCGCGTGTGCAGGGGCGTCGCGGCAAAGGCGCGGGGCGGCGAGCCGGACCCCTTCTCCGTCGCGATGGGCGCTTGGCTCGGCGACGCCGTCGCACAGCAGGAGGCGCTGCAGGCGCTGCTCTCCCAGACGCGCCGCCTGTACGTCGCGAGCGCGGCGCGGCTCGGGATCGAAGCGGGCAAAGACGGAGACGACCACGGGCCAGAGAAGCTCTTTGAGTTGCTCGCCACTTTCCGGACGCAGTGGGCGGCGGCGCAGCAGGCCAACGCGGCAGCCGCGGCGCGAGAGGCTCGCGATCTCCACCTGGCAGAGCAGCGCGAGGCGCTCCGCGCCGCCGCCGCCGCACGCCGTGAGGCGCGGGCGGCTCGCAAGGCGGCCGCTGCCTCCGCGGCGGGCGGCCAGTCCGGGGAGCGGGAGGGTCCGGCCCCCCGCGGCCGGCGAGGCCCCGCAGCCTTGAGCATGGCCGGCGCAAGGCGCGCGAAGCTGCCCTTCAACACGAAGGCGAGCAGGCCCAAGGCTACTGTCGCCGGCGCGGGCGGCAGCGGCAAGGAGTGCCGCACGTGCGGACGTCGCTTCGTCGCTTTTGGCCCCGTCTGCCCGACATGCCGTGCCAGCAAGAGGAGAGGGCCGCCGGCGGCGCCGACAGGCGACGCTTGCTTCGTCTGCAGCCGAAAGGTGTATGACGCGGAGCGGCTCGTCGCCGCCGGCCGCCTCTTCCACCGCAAGTCGCCTGGCCACCCGGGCTGCTTTCGCTGCGCGCACTGCGACGTCACCCTCTCTGCGACCAGCTTCTCGTGTGCGCCTTCGCGCCGCCGCTTCTTCTGCCAGAACCACTTCAAGCAGCTCTTTGCCATGCACGGCAACTACGACTTTGCCGAGGGCGGCGGGGAGGAGGAGGCAGAGGCGGAGCAGGCGGCCCAGGCGCCACCGGGCGGGGGCGGGGGCGAGGGCCGGGCGACCGCGCCAACGACGCAAGCAGTGGCAGCGGCAGCGCCGGCGGCAGAGGCGGCGGCTGAGGCGGTGGCAGAGGCGGCGGTGCCGGAGGAGGAGCCGGAGGAGCCGACGTGCCGGAGCCGTCTCCCGGCGAGCAGGCGAGGCTGGCGCGTCCTCGACACGCCTTGAGTTGCGTCCATAGGCACTATGTCTACGGCGAGCTGCGCATCCCCTTCGAAGCGGAGGTCGGCCATCTGCCCGCTCTGTGTGTGGCTCGAGTTCTGTCTCACTCCAGCGGCGGCTGGTTGGTAGGACGGGTGGATGCGCGTTCGTGAGACGTCGCTGCCGCAAAATTGGCTGCTGCTGAGCTACTCGCGGGCCGACCCCGACTTGGTCGAGATTGTCGGCGAGGGAGACGACGGCCTCGCCGCGCTGCGCGCCGCTGCTTGCGACTCCGGCCGCGTCTACTGGGCCTTCTTCCTGGTCGTGGGCGTCGACACCCGCCGCGGCGTCGTCTCGCGCCGGCCAAAGTACGTATTTGCGACGGTGGGCGGGGCGGAGGTGGACGTGCGCACGCGGACGCGGGCGCTGCTGCACACGGGTGCGGTCGGCGCGGTGCTGCAGGAGGCACACCTCCACTGCGAGGTGGAGTCGGCGGAGGAGCTCAGTGACGCAGCCGTGGCGGCCCGGCTGGCGCAGATAGGGGGCGCGCACCGGCCAAACGGCTACGACTTCGGCGACGGCGGCGGGGCGGTTCGGGTGGAGGAGGAGTGAAGGTCGGGTGGAGGAGGAGTGAGGAGCGGCGTGCTCGTCGAGCGTGCTCGTAAGAGAGCCACGGCAGAGGCGGCGGCGGGGGCACTACGGAAGAGGTTCTCGTTGGGCGTGCCCAAGCTGCGCAGCGCGGAGGTGGTCGGTCCTGTTGTGAGAGTGCTCTCATGTGCCGCACGAGCCGCGATAGTGCCGAGATACCGGCGGCGCCCGCATGGGGCCACGGCGTCGCTCGAGTGCGCCTGAGAGAAGCGAGAGGGTGCTTTATGTTGTGCGCCCCCCGGCGGTTCCGGTTTGCCGGGTGTGCCGGGTGGTGGCGCGGCTGCCGGTTCGGGATGCGGCTTGTTTGAGGGTTCTCAAAAACAAAACACATCCCGCGAGCCACTGGTCGCTACCCGCAGCGAGCGCGCTTGTCCTCGCGCCCGTCTTCCAGGGCTTGTAGCCGCGCCTCTAGTGCGAGGAGGGACGTCGTCAAGTCCTTGATGCGCGCGCGCGCCGCGTCGTCCCGGCCGCCGCTGCCGCCACCGCCGCCGCCACTCGGCATGCAGGCGGCCTCGATGGCCTTCACCCTCGCCGCGAGTGCGACCAGCTCGGCCCCCGTGTCGGGGCTGCAGCGCGTCTCCTGCCACCGCGCGTCCTCAGGAGCGCCGACGGCCTGGGCGGCCTGCAATCCGTCCGACGAGAGGCCAAGCGCGTGGTTGTGATGCAGCCCGGCCGTCCCGAGCGCGTACGCGGCGAGGGCGTCGCGGCGCAGCGCGTAGCGAGGCGCGAGCTGACGCCAGACGACCTGCTCTGCCAGCGCGGCCGGGACTGCGGCGGGGGCAGTGGAGTACTGGCATCCGAGCGGCGCACTGCAGGCGTCGCAGGTGATGCAATCCGCCGGGAATTCCGAACCCTGGAGCGCGCTGTTTGAGCCGCTGTCCGCAGGAGGGCTGACGGTCACCCCGAGAACGGCGTCTACAATGAGCGCATCGAGCGCCTCGACGGTGCAGACGAGCTGGTTCGAGTCAGTGATAACCGTGCGGCACGACGCGCACTGGAAGACGAGCGGGCTGTCGATCTCACCCATCGATGCTTTGAAAGCTCGATGCTCTAGAACTGCGCTGCTCACCCAGCGCAACACCAAGCAAGCGCCTCCCTCCCCGCCACCACCCTTGCCCTCGCCGGCTGCCGCCTTCCGGAAAGAAAGAATTTTTCGCCTGACATCTATGGAATTGTGCTCCTCCGGGGGTCGCCCGTCCCCTGGGGATTCTCGACGGCCGCCGCTCCGTCGCTCGTCAGACAAGTATCCGGGCGCTGTGACTGAAGGTGGGTGGGTGAGCAGGAAGGTGGCAGGCAAGCCGCAAGTGTGAGTGAGTGGGGAAGAGGGGTGGCCCCTGGCCTTCGGAGGCCGCCGGCCAACGCAGCCGCCTCCGCCACGCTCGCAGCGGAGCCGCCGCCTTGCGCCTCTGTCGGAGCGGCGGCCGCCTCCGCTAGTTCATCCCGCCGCCAAACCCGCCGACCGAGTTCTCGTACTCTGGGTGCTCGCCCCATTTCGACGGAAACCACAAAACGTTGCCGAGGGTGCCTACGCGCACCGCGAGGAGGGGTGAGGGAGGGAGGTGTGGGAGGTGGGACGCCGCCACCGCTCGTTCTGGCGGGCGCCGATCACGTAGCAGACCGCCAGGGCCCCGTTGTAGCCGCACCAAAAGGTGTTGAGTCGCACCTGGGTTTGACGGGAGGGGAGGGGAGGGGAGCGGACGCAGTCCGGGCGGTGCGAGGTGTGGGCCGCAGGCCGCGGGCGCGCGGCGCGCGTCAAAGCCGTAGACGTCGGCATGCAGGACGTGAAAGAAGCAGAGCATGAAGGCAGCGGCGTGGTAGAAGGCGAAGGCCAGGTAGATCCAGCCCGAGTTGCCGACCGGACTCACCGCAGCCGCCAGCGCCATCAAGCCTATCACGAAGACGAGGCCAGCGCACACCCAGAGCAGCAGCACGAGCTGCTTCGCCGCGTCGCTCATCAGCTCTGGCTGCTTCGCCGGCACGTACCTGCGGCCGCGGCGCCCCGAGGGCCACACGCGTCAGCAGCCACTCTCCGAAGCCGGGCGCGAGGCGTGTCAAAGCGTCTAGGGGCTTGTGCGGCGGCGGCGAGCGCGCGCCATCTTCGCAGCAGCACTCCTGCGTGCCGACGGGTGGATCGCGGTGAGCCGCACGCGCCGACTCTCCCCACCAGCCACAGCCGGCCCCGCCGCCCACCCCGCGCCGAAGGTGATTGCGAGTGCGCGCGCACTCCGCCCTCGCGCCCGTGTGAAGGCGGCGGGCGTGGGATCGCTGTGTGGAGACTGCGCGCGACCCACTCGCACCTGGGTAGAGCAGCACCGGGATGGGCATCCCGAGGTTGACTGCAGCATCGAGCCAGAAGAGTCTACGGGCCACACCGAAGGAGGCGTGTGTGGGGAGTGGCAGTGCGGCCAGCGCGCCGCTGCGATCGGTGCGATCGGCTTGCAGGCAGGGGCGCGGACGCACATCCGCCACGAGAGCTGCTCCTGCATCGCCGATGGCCGAAGCGACGGCGTGGACTGTAATGCGGGGCGCTGACGAATGCAGCGGCCGGAGCACAAGGGCGGCGCACTGTTTTTTTTTCGCTAAGCGCGCTTGGCTTGGCTATCGACGGGCTCACTTTTGCTCGATGCCGTGCGCCGAGCGGCGCTTCAAGGCGGCGCTGGTCTCGAGGGACCACGGCGACAGCGCGCACGTGGCGAAGCCGGGCGAGGCGCAGCACGCAGGGCCTGCCTGCTCGCCGGCAAGACCTACTGCCGCTGCCCTGGCATGTCGGCAAACGCTGCAGCAGTCAAGGCGCTGCGTAAGGCGCGCGAGGAGACGCCGGAAGAGGAGGTGTGGGAAGGGCTGCGGCTCTCAATCTCCTCATCCAAAACTCACACAATGCAGTTTGCGCTGTGACACACAGTTAGAGTTGTTTGGTATTGCTAAAAATCTCTCTCACACACAACAACAAACGCCCGCGACAAAAACAAGCACCACACCGTCCGCGGCGGCTACCTGACCGAGTTCTACCCCAAGAGCGTCCCGCTCCCCGAGCCCGAGTCCCTTCCAGCTACCGACGCGATTCTCAAACTGGCACTTGCAAATCCACGTACCCGCGGCCGCGGCGCTCGCTGCCATCAAGAATCACAAGGACTGGTACGCGCACCAGGAGCTCGTCAAGGCGCGGGATGTGCACGTGTCAAGAACAACCTGTCCCTCGGAGACAGCGCCGTCAACAACCGCGAAGCCGCGCGCTTCGTCTCCGCCTCAACGCCTTTCGCCGGCAAGGCCTTCGATGTCTGTGTCGACGGTACGTACGCCACCGCCCTCTCCTCCGACACCCTCCAGGACGAGCTGCAGCGGAAGCTCGGCCTTTGGCTCTCCGCGGCGCTTCCCACCCTTCGGGTCGCGCTCGAGCGGGGCATGCCAGTCGATTTCTTCGGCGACTACCTTTACAACAAGGCCCACCACCGGCGGCCCCACGACGGCGTCCTCGCCGCCTGGGCGGACGCGATGCGCGCCCCGGCCAACGCGCCGGTCGTGCACGGCGACAAGGAGAAACCAGAGCTCACCCGGCAGTACAACGAGGGGTACAAGACTGTGACCTCGCAGAACCCCATGCGGGAGCCGGGACCGGGGGGGTGCGATGAGGTGAATGAAATCAAGCTCTGGACGCCCCTCCTCAAGACCTCCTCGCCGGGCGTTGGCAACGCCTCGAGTGGCGGCACGCCCTCCTCCGTTGGCCACTCCTACGCCTTCGGCCACACCGAAGAGAAGGCCCGCCGCCTAAACATGGGCTGCAAGGCGCGCGGGCAGCCCGGCCAACCCTTCTCCCACAAGACCGGCCACGGCTACGTCAAGGCGCATCGCGGTTTCTACCACGACGCGATCTTTGTCAAGCGCAACAACTTCAACCTGCTGCTCCACGAGACGTTCGGCGGCGGCTTCTCGCCCACCGCCGTTCTCAAGCTGCGCCGCCTCGCGCGCAAAGTCGCGCGCGGCAGCGTTGACCGCACGGCCTACTCGCCCAAGTACTCGCTCTCTTTTATGTCCCACCATGCAGAGCGAATCTCTCTCTCTGTTGTGCGAGGCGTGAACCGCGCCATTCGCTCTCACCTGGCAACCCTGTCTGCACGTCTCGCGCGCGCGTGAACAGGGCTCCAGGCCCCAAATGACGTGTGAGTGTTAGAGTTGTTTGGTATTGCTAAATCTCTCTCTCACACACACACAGTTTGGGCTGGATTGTCGTAGACGTTTCCAACGTGCTCACGGGTCACGGCTACGGCTTGATTGAGCTTTGCTTATGATTGAAAAAATTAGATATTCTTACCTTCTTGCCCCCCTCTGAGACTAGGGACAGAACCCACCCGTACACAGGAGAGATGGGACTGCGCCTCGCCCCCGCTTGCCCTGACTGCACAGGATAGCGTGACCCAATTGGCGACACATAGCGGGGGACACTGCGCAAGGAGGGGGTGCGTCGCCTTTCTTTGTCCTCTCGAGGGAATGTTCTCTCGACGCCCATGGCCTTTTTCTGAGGTTTCGTACTACTTCCCTCGGTAATGTGTTACGGGTATCGGTCGCTGAGTGGACGCTATCTCTAACCATTTGATCTACGTTTGCCGACTTCGGCCGACGGCCTCTCGATGGTCGAGTGGCTTCCGGATCGAATCGGCGACTATGACCCTTATAATTTTTTCACACCTGAGCGGGCCCAATTTTGCTCAGATGCACCTCCGAATTCGAAATCGCGTCCTCACGCTTAGTGCTTGGTGTGCGTCCGTTTTTCGTCACGGGTTTTTGCTTGTGATTGAGCTTTGCTTGTGTGGGTGGCGGTGGTGGGGGCCGGGGGGATGGTGTCGGAGGCGTCGACGTAGACGGTTGCGGCTGGCGTAAAGTGGACGGCGTCGTTGAGGCTTGCACGACGGGGGCGGCGAGCGGCCGGGGAGTGGCGCGAGAGGGGCGGGAGGGCTTGTGGAGCAGGCGTCTCACATTCTGTCCACGCACCACGCTCGCAGATGATGCTTCGCATTCTTCTCGCCGCGCCTTTCATCGGTGGTACCGTTGGCTTCGCTTCGGCCGGGCCCGAGCCCGAGCCCGAGCTCGTCGATTGCACGTCCCTCGCCTACCACTTTGACCTGGACATCAACGACACGACGTGCGGTGTGAGGACCAAGCAGAAGGTGTCCTGAAGACATATATGTCCCTTCACCCGGAGACGGCAAGCGGCACGAAGCTTGCCATCGACGGAGGCGGCCTCTTCACAATCCTCTCCTACCTCTTGCCGACCGATGTCAGCGGCACGCACCTCTGGGCAGCCTCTGGGACGAGAAGTACTCGTATCACACGGCCACGAGCACGACGACGACGTCGGCGGCGACCACGACGCCGAGGACCAAGTCATCTTCGGAGGTGCGTGCGGTACCGTCGCGGGTACGCGGGCAAAATCCCTGCCTCGTGTCGAACGTCTTATGTTCCCCTTCTTTCAGCTTTCACCGTATCACTATCTCACACGAGGCAACTACCACGTGACAAGGCGGTCGAGCGCCAGAGCGGCGTCACAGCGGCGAGCACGCACGTCTTCGCCGTCCTCGGCGCTACGGGCAAGTACGCTAAGTACAACGGTGGCTACGTGACGGTGAAGTACATGGAAGACCTGGCCCGCAAAGCCGCGCAATGCCACGGTGTGCTGTGGCCACGATGACGCAATCTGATTCACCAGTCCAACAAACAAATCTCACAGGCACAGCCCACAACCCCACCACTCTCCACCACTCCTGCTCTCACACGCCTGGCGCACGCTCCACTGCCTGTCGCGCCGCCGGCTACGTCCGTGGCAGCGGCACCCTCTGCCACCGCCACGGCCCGTGCTCGCCCACCGCCGCGGGCTCGGTGCCGCCCGCGCCGTGCGTCATATCGCCCCGCGGCCGCGCAGTCTCGCGGTAGGCCACCCACACGCACGCCTCGCTCTTGCTCAGCAGCCACGCCGTCTGGGAGACCGTGCCGTACCACGAGGGCGCGTACCCGGGCGCGTGGCTCCCCACCGCGGCGGGCTCGGGGCCGGCGTGGTTGTCAAAGGGCGTGATGAAGGGCGCCGCTTGCAGCCGCCGCTCGGACCAGGCCGCGTGGTGCGAGTGCACGCCGCGCGCGGCCTCGGCCGCCTCTGCGGCGGCGCCGGCCAGCGCCGAGGTGCTCATGGCGGGCATCAGGAGCCGCAGCAGCTCCTCCGCGCCCGCCCTGCCGGCGCACTTTGGGCGCGCCCCCTCGAGCCGCCGCGCCACCTCCTGCTGCAGCCACGCCGCCTTTGGCCACGCCGCGTCGGAGCCCGCCGCCGACGCCGGGCCCGTCATCTGGCCGCTCGCGTCGTTGGTCTTGGTGAGGACGGCGGCGCGGCCCCTCTCGACCCGCAGCTCCGTCGTGCTCACTGCAAAGTCGCCCTCTGACGAGGGCGCGCAGGCGCTCAGCCGGAGCTCACTCGCCCCGTCGGCGCGGAGCGTGCCCCACAGCATGTTGAAGCAGGCGTACGCGTTGGAGTGCAGCGCCACCCACGCCTCGCCGAGCACGGCCCTGCGGACGAGGACGCCGCGCGACTCGAGAGGGCGGCCAGTCGGGCCGGCGCAGCGAACGTTGGTGAGGGCCGCGAGCGCTCCCGTGTGCGAGTTGATCGACATCCACGTGCCGCCCGCTTCGACGTCGGTCGCGTGTACGCAGCCGTCCTCGTGCGGCGCGACCGGCTCAGTCTCGCGGTCAAAGCGCTCGTCGCGGTTGAAGAGGAGAATCAGAGGGAAGTCAGGGTGGCTCTCGAGCGCGAGCGCGAGTATGCACATGGATGGAGTGAGCAAGGGAACGCCTCCTTGTCTCGACTAGTCCTCTGCGCGCACGTCCGCGGACGACAGCGTACCAGCCCACAGTGGCTAGGTCGTTCGGTGCGTCAAGATGGCCATCGCCGCCCAGCCGGAAAAGAAGAAAAAGACCGCCGAGAATTCCGCGCTGCTGTCGCCGCTTCGCTCGCGGCGGCGGCGGCTGCGCCGCAGTGCGGCGCGGCTGGCGGCGCAGATGCGCAAAGAATCTGGCTGCTGCCAGAGCTGCCCTCCACCATGCTGTCCACCCTCGTGTGTGGCGCCCCTCGACTTCTCCTCCTTCCTCTTCCTCTGCGTCTGCACGGCGCACGCTCCTAGTTTGTCAGCGCACCTCTACGGCCTCAAGGTAGTAGCCTATCGCGTATCGGAGCGGTCGACTGGATGTCAATTGAACAACATGGGAGTAGTAGAGCTTGGTCAGCCGCGCGCGGCGATCCGAGCTGAGCGCCGCGGGGCGGCGGGAGGAGCGAAACCGAAGAGGCGAGAGGCAGAGGAGAGCGAAATACTGCCAAAGTCGCGGCGTCGCCACATCGCACCAATGTCCCAGCCTCCCCCACGATGTGGCAGTCGCCGCGATCCTGGACAGAAGAGTGCCCCGTCGTCATATTTCAGCGGTGCAAGGCTCTGGTCGTAGAAAGTTGCCATCGTCCAGAGAGCGGCGGCGGCGATGGAGTTGATGGTGGCGAGAGCCGGGGTCCCCAGGCTGCTCCAGCGAGGAGGCAGCTGGACTGGCTTGTCGCGGGGCGGGGTACCGGATGGGTGGCATTGAAGCCCGGGCCCGCCGACACAATTCGACCACTGGACACTATATCTAAATGCGGCGCAGGCCAATCTCAAGTTCCCTTCTCGATTCTTCGCGGGTTTTGGTGCAGTCACCTTCCCCCGCGACAGCCATTGCCTCTGCCTACAACCCCGAGAACCACGGCAAGCTCAAACACGTCGAGCGGCGCCACTTCTTCATCCGCGAGGCCATCGAAGAAGCCAAGATCTGTGTTCCTTTCGTCCGCAGCGACGAGAACCTCGCCGACTTCTTCACGAAGCCGCTCAAACCCCAGCGCTTCTTCGAGCTGCGGGACAAGATCATGAATGTCAAGGAGCCTTCCTCCCAGTCGGATGGGAAGTAATCTCCTTCACCGAGACGTGGGCGCGGGCGCCGCGCCGCGAGTCGCGAACAGTGCCGCCCCCCCCCCCCGCGAGAGCCATAGACTCTCCAGTGCATGTTCCATGCCCCATCGAGAGGGACACTTTCCTCTCTATCCATGTGAGTGACTCGACTACGTCGAGGGGGGGGACGTCTGAACCACACGTGTCCCTCCATTCACACTCTCCCAGTCCTTCCTGGTCTAGTGCCCGACTTCTCCGCCCGTCGTGCTGAGTTGGTCGCACCTCCGTGCATCTTCGTCCTTTAGACGTTTCACCTAGAGCAAGCAGGGCGGCACGCCCCTAGGTCCACCCGCCAGCCGGGTGGGGCTTGCACGGGCTGGGACCATCTAGGCTGGCACGCGCGCGCAATTTTTTCTTTGAGCGCCGGCTCGCTGTTCACGGCTCGCTGTGCACAGCCTTGTTACGCGAGGGCTGGCGGCGGCGGCGACAGAGGCAGCGGCGGTGGTGGTGGCTCAAAGGAGATGAGAGCGAGCCGGTAAAGTGAAGAAGGAGAGAAGATCCGTGCCCACGAAGCCGAGGTGCTCGTGGTGGGAACCGAAGTAGACGAAGAACAGACGTCAGAGATCATTCGAATGTCGCCGAGCTCGGCCGATTTGCCGAGTCGGGTCGCGGCCGAGTTGCCGCTTGCTGGGGCTCCAACCCAGCTCCACGTCGAGCCCCAGGCTCGCACGGCATCAGCCTTCGTATCGAGCGAAGACGGGAAATACTGTGCCGGACGGGCATCAGTCCGGTTTACATGCTGCACGGCCGAGTTGCCAAGCAGGCTCCTGGCCGAGGTGCCAAGAAGACTTGTGAGCAGGGACTCCGGCCCTGACTGCCACCACGACACCGCAGGCTTCCGTGGTGCCGGCTATCGTATCGAGTGCTAGCCGGACTAAGCTGTGCGGCTGCATCGCACCAGCAATCATGACGGCCAAGTTGCCGTCGATCTCCTCGCTCCGCGATCTCACCGGAGGTACCATGTAGTGAGCTGTGAGCTGTACACGGAGCGAGGGTCTGTACCGAGGCGTACAGGAACGGTACAAGAGGTATCGCCGGGGCTCCGCTCCAAGAGACCTCGAGATGTGCGTGCGTGTGCCTCTAATCGCCAGGCCCTCGTCGAACTCAGCGCCGCCTCCGACGCGAATGACGACTCTGTTCACCCTCCTCGCGTCGTCCTGGTCGCGCTGCCGCGCTGTTCGTGCCGCACCGGTGCGGCTCTCGCGCCGCTGCAGAGTCTTGGCGACTTTGCCGCAGCAGGAGTGGGTCGCCGGCCTCGCCTTTGACCTCGAGACGACCGGTCTCAATACGGACGAGGCGGAGATCGTCCAGTTTGCGTGCGTCGTGGCCAACTCGCGGAGAGAGGGCGGCGCCAGCTTCTGCGAGTTTGTGATGCCGCAATGCGAGATCGATCCGGGCGCCTCCGCGGTCACCGGCATCACCAAGCAGCTGCTGGCAGAGCGAGGTGCGCGGCCGTTCGCAGAGGTGTGGGCAACCTTCGAGGGCTGGCTCCGCGAGACGCTGGTCAGCGAGACGCGGCCGCTCGTCTGGTCGGCGCACAACGGCGACCGGTTTGACGTCCCGATCCTGCGGCGCTGCGTGCGCGATGCGACTGGCGGCCCTTCGCCGCTGCTCAGCGAGCCTCGGGCGGCCTTTGTCGACACGTTGCCGCTGGCGCGCGCCGCGCTGCGGCCCCGGCCGCGCTACACCCGGGGCGCACCCGGCCCCTTCACGCTCGGAGCCCTCTTCGAGCGAGCCTCTCCCCGCGGCGGCGCGCTGGAGGGCGCCCACGACGCGCTGGTCGACGCCGAGGCGCTGGCGCGGGTGTGGCGCTGGCTGATCGAGGAGCAGGGCGCCGACGCGGCCAGTGCGGCGTGGGCCGCCTCGGCGGCGACCGCGGGGCAGCCCTCCCTCGCACCCTTCCAGGCGCACCTGCAGTACCGCGGCTACGGGCTCGAGCCCGCCACGAGGACCGCACCAGCAGCACCCTCCAGCAGCGGGGCGGGCGACGCGTCGCGGGCTGCTCGGCGCCCGTCGACCCCGCGCGGGGGCGACGCAGATTCGCTCGAGCGCGTGGCTGGCATCGGGCCGGCGCTCTCGAAAAAGCTGAACAGCAAGGGCATCGGCACGTACGACGAGCTCGAGAGGGCGTGGGCGCAGCGCGGCCGCGACCACCGGAGGATGCTCGGCTGGCTGGTCAAGTCGATGCCGGGGACGAACCGGCTCGCCCTCGCAAAGGCGGTGCGGGGGATGGCGGCGGAGTGGCCGGTCTGAGTGGCGGGTCATCAAACAAGAGTAATGGACATCTCTGCGCAAGAACAGGAGAGTGTTGGGGTAGAGATAGTAGATTAAGACTGGAGATCCGCGGATCTCTCACACGGACACGCCCAAGTCTCGCCAGTAGATCCCTCCATGCGCGCCTGCTCAGTATGCTCTCGGCCTGAGCCCTGGCCTCGACACCTCGACACCAAACCTCGACGACACCGACTCGACACCTCGACAACCCATGCCAACTCGACTCTAAACTCGACACCGTCCCCTCGACACCCCTCGACACCCCTCGACACCCCTCGACACCCCTCGACAGTCGACACCCCTCGACACCATCTAGGCTGAAACCATGCTCGTCCGTGTCAAGGTGCCAAACTCGACACCTCGACACCCCTCGACACCCCTCGACACCCCTCTCGACACCGCTCGACACCGCTCGACACCGCTCGACACCGCTCGACACCGCTCGACACCTCTGATGATCCTAACACAGCAGAGACGTAGACCCATTGGAGTCACAGAGTTAGAAATCAGGGTTGCAGCAGCAATTAAACTTGGCTGGCAGTACTTTCATCCCTGAGTTGCAGCCTCTCAAGTTCTAGCTCAAGTTGCAGCTCAGTTGCACCCCTGTTGATGCAGCAAACATGGCAGTACTCAGGTAGCCCTAAGGTGCTGCACAGCACCTTGTACAGTGGCAATGAATCCTCACACCAGTGAGCTTGTGCCATGAGTGCAGACCTGTGGTCCATTGCGCTTTGTGCACTGGCGATGCTGACAACGGCGACACTGCAGCGGCGGCGACGCTGCTGCGATGGGGTACTGGCAGCCCTTAGCTGCTGGACAGCACCTTGTGCAGTGGCAATGTCCACTGACTCATGGCACCAGCCTTGTGCCATGAGCGCTGTGGTCAGTTGCGCTTTGTGCGCCGGTGACGCTGCAGCGGCGACGCTGCTGCAGCGGCGACGCTGCTGCGGTGCTGCGCCTGCACAGCACCTTGGTGCACAGTGGCAATGACTCCCGGCACTTGATGTCCTCAAATGTCCACAGAGAGTATACTGGTTGTGCTCAGGTTGTGCTACATCAACAGGGTGCAACTGAGGCTGCAACTAAGGGATGAAACAGCTTTGCAACTGCTGCCCAACTTTTGTTGTATGTTGATGGGCTGCAACTGCATCCACCTGCCACCTTGGACACCTCGATACCTCAGACGCCTCTTGACAACACTCGACACCCGCTCGACACCCGCTCGACACCCTCGACACCCGCTCGACACCCTCGACACCCCTCGAGCACCCCTCGACACGGTCAAGCATGGTTTCAGCCCCGACAGGCCCCGACAGGCCCCGACAGGCCCCGCGACAGGCCCCGACAGGCCCCGCGACAGGCCCCGCGACAGGCCCCGCGACAGGCCCCGCGACAGGCCCCGCGACAGGCCCCGCGACAGGCCCCGCGACAGGCCCCGCGACAGGCCCCGCGACAGGCCCCGCGACAGGCCCCGACAGGCCCCGACACAGGCCCCGACAGGCCCCGACACAGGCCCCGACAGGCCCCGACACAGGCCCCGACAGGCCCCGACACAGGCCCCGACAGGCCCCGACAGGCCCCGACAGGCCCCGACAGGCCCCGACAGGCCCCGACAGGCCCCGACAGGCCCCGACAGGCCCCGA